AAGAGATATTTTTACCGTTCACATTAATGTAAAGGATCACTTTTCAAAGTTTGGAATGCTAACTAAAAGAAAAAAGAGGTGATGGGTGCTTTCTATCATTCCAAATCGAATAATTTTCTAGGGTATCATTCATGCACCTGCTTTCAACGAACCTTTTTTTTTTCTTCTGTTTTTTCTCTTTTCTGATTATGTCAAATATTATTACCAAATTCACAAACTATTTTTTTCTACTTGATTTAACTATTTTGTGTTTAGTTGATGTAAACTTTTTTCTCCTGCATATGCACTCTTTACATATGGTCTCCCTCCATCTGCTATATTTATTTTAATTATATAACATGAGTTTTTTTATGCTGCTACGCTACTTATTTAATGTATTTCAGTATACATTTTATGCATAATGATTGGACATTCGGTATTTTGTGGAGGATAAAATATGAAATGATCATATTATTCTTATACGAATCTGGTGTTCTTTGGTTTTAAAAATATAACGAGTCTTTATAATTTGAATAGTGCCTCGAGAGATTGTTGTCACTTCTTGAAATAGGCATGTTTTCTTTGTTTGAATCAGTTTGCTTTATTCAATTTGCGCTTTCTTAACAGGTCGTTGAGCGGTTTCTGTTCTTCTTTGAACATGCTGAGACGATGTCTGAATTTCAAGTAGAGAGAAACTTGCAAATAAAGTTGATATCTACATGAAGGTAAATCAAATATTCTTTGAACAGGAATCGACGGAGTTTTTGCGATTTTTTCTTCTTTGGATTTTTGAACGAAAAGGACGGAGTTTTTTACATAAATTGAGTTTTCTTAAATTAGTTAATACAATAATGGAGTTTATTTTACTGCTTATCCATGCTTTTTGCTGACTTGGGTTTTGTCACTATGATTACTTATTTTACTGCATATGCATGAAACTGAGTTAGTTTTCTTTATTATTATTTTTTTCTTCTTTTGATTATTCTACAAATATGTAAAATATTTCTTTGGAGGACCGTTAAATATATATATGCATGAATGGAGAGCGTGATATTTGCATGCAGTGGAGGAACATTTTCTTTGTGATCGAGTGTTCAATTAACTTCATGCTTGACAACAATAATTTAGACTTCCTTAGTTTTTTTCTTTTTTTTTTTCTTTTTTTTGCTTTTTTCGTCTTTGCGTTGCAAGTTTGTTTTTTCATATAATAAAAAAAAATACAGAAGTGTAATTCTAGAAACGGAACTGTAGCTTCAAATGAAGAAAATTAAAAAATAATAAATAATTAATGTATTGCCTGGATTATTTGATGAACATAAAGTTAATATGTGGTATCGATTTAGCTGCAATTTCGAATTTTCTCCTTTTTTTTTTTATAATCTTTTTACCCTTTTTTTTTTCTTTTTTTTGCTCGGATACGCCATCTCCAGCTCCGCTCTCCAAAGCTAAACCTCTGAATGTTGATTTGTTAGAAACGGATAATAACGACAAACCCTTTCATGAAAAGCACATGAAATAAAATCAGAGCTGTAAAGAAATGTTGTGTTCAAATTTCTCTACTTTTGGGCGAAAAATTTAGGAGATATTATTTTTATAAATTAAGACAGTGAATTGGTCCGATTATCTTAGATTGAAATTGTAATGTCACGGAGAGGAAAGTCATTTTTTCCAAATATATATATGTATGTATATTAAATTTTATTGCGAAAAATATTAAGTATGATTGCAATTAGTCGAATTTTACGTCGTTGTTCTATTGTTTCGTATTCTACAGATCATATATGTTTATTGATTTTGCTTAAATTATATTTTTTCAATAATTGCCCGTGCAACGCACGGGGCAAAGTACTAGTTTATAAAAAAAGAAACTCGTTAACCAATAACAAGACACTATTTTGACATGTAGGAGAGATGAATTTTGAAAACCAATAATGTGAAATCAATTAATTAATAATATAGATGATTATGGTAATTGGGGTTTTTTTGCAATTAATATAATATTGTGCATATTATCAGAACCGGACCAGCTATAGAACCGGACGACAATTTGAGTCATGGGTTTTTATGGTCGAACCGGTTCAACCGGGTTTTTGATTTTTCCTAATATGTCATTATTTTATTAATTTTAATATTTTTAAAATATTATTTTCTTTATATTTTTAATCTCCCACTTATTATTTTCACTTTTATCTATTTCACCTCACTTTTTACTATATTTTACTACTTATACTCTATATTTTTCCATTATTTGTACTTCAAATCTAGCAATCGGCCACCGCCCATGATCATATCCGACAATCTTTCGATCACTCATGACTAAATCCGGCCACCCACTATTAAGTTTGTGAAGGTTCGCTCGACTCTAACCATAAATAACCAACTCAGCGGTGATTCGAGACGTTTTGGCCGAAAACCGGGTTCCTTGACTGACTCGTCGGTTCTCGGGTTTTACCCGGTCGAACCGGATTTTGGTCATTTGACCCCGGTTTTCAATTTTTCCGGTTTTAGATGTCAGACCGGACCGTTTTTTCACCGGGTCACGGTCGAACCGGTCCGACCGGCCGGTTCGGTCCGGTTCTAATAACATTGATTATGTCCATTTTTATATTTACGTATTTATTATAAAACAATGGATTAAAAAAAGAAAACTCAATAACCAATAAAAAAACACTATTTTGACATATAGGAGCGATAAAATTTGAAAACTGATAATGTGAAATCAATTACATAATAATATATGTGATTATGGTAAGTGGAGTTTTTTTGAAATTAAGAAAACAATGTGAACTCAATCTCCTCAAGTGAATAACTTTTATTGTGTATCCTAGTTTTATATATACTATAGATGTTCAAGAGTATGAATTCATTGGGTATAACTCAATTAATAATAGCAATTAGTATTATTAAATATGAACCGCAAATGGTAAAAAAATAAAGGGGTTATTTTACATACCCCAAGCTACTAAATAAACTACGGATAAACCCAAGCTCAAATAATCTTTTGACATACCTCCGGGAGAAGCGAAAGTACTATACTATCCTTATAGGTAATTTTCGGCCAAACTGCATTCAACATTTCTGGTCCTAGATTTATCATTTTCGCTAATTTATTAATTATTATTATTATTAAATAAACCTGTTTGTTTAATTTATATATTTTTCTATTAATTTTTTCATTTAATTTTTTTATTTAATTTTGTTTTTTAATTTTTTTGTTTTTTTTTTTACATTTTTTTTTAAATCAATATGTTTACTGTAGTGAAAATAACTACATGTAACTGTAGCAAACTATAGTCATTCGTAGTTATGTTTTTTTTTCTACCCCATATTTTTAGTCGATCAATTATGTACACACACGAATACTGGCTTATACAAAAGAAATTCATAAACCCCAACAACAAAAAATTACAAATTTCAATATTTATATTATAAATCATCTCACAACCAATAAAATACAAATCGAAAATACACAAATATATGCATATGTATCTACATGTAACTGTAGTAAACTACAGTTATTCGTAGTTATGTTTTTTTTTTTGACCCCATATTTTTAATCGATCAATTATTTACACGCATGAATACTGGCTTATACAAAATAAATTCATAAACACCAATAACAAAAAAATTACAAATTTTAATATTTATATTATAAAACACTTCAGATCCAATAAAATACAAATCAAACATACACAAATATATGCATATGTAACTACATGTTACAAGTAATGTGTAGTAATGCATAGTAATGTACAGTAATGTATATAGTCTGTTGAATACTGTAATTTGAAGCAGATATACCTTCAACCAATTTTTGTCACACCTTGAAGAAGAGGATAATGGTTTTCATTAAGATGCAATAGCAAAATCAAAACAATAAAATATATTTTAGTGCAAATCAAAAAAAATTAAAGAAACATCAAAACACTCAAATCAACAAACTCTAAGAGAGAGAGCGAGAGAGCGAGAGAGCGAGAGAGCGAGAGAGAGAGAGAGAGAGAGAGAGAGAGAGAGAGAGAGAGAGAGAGAGAGAGAGAGAGAGAGAGAGAGAGAGAGAGAGAGAGAGAGAGAGAGAGAGAGAGAGAGAGAGAGAGAGAGAGAGAGAGATAGGCCATAGCTGCGAAATGCTACGAATTTTAGACCAACTCGCCAATGACTCCTCACCCCAAACGCCTCCTACCAAAACCCTAGCCGTCGCTAACCACCCAAGGTTCCGCGCTCACAAAGGAAAAAAATTATAGAAATAAATCTGACAATAAAAAAGTGAACGAAATTACCATCAAGATATAGGTCTCAACGAGATGAATCCAACAGTGGGTAGCCCGTCAAATTTTGACTGCCGGAACACAAATTACACATTCGACAAGACCCACCATCGTCGAAACACGCGCTGACTGTAAAACAATTACATAAACAGATAGAGTGCTCCAAACTGAATCAAAATCACCACCAAAATAAAGAGCTCAACGAGAGGAATCAAACGTAGTTAAACCATCGAATTCTGACCACCGGAGAGAGAGTTATGACTCCGAGAAGCAATTTCGCCGGTTGGAGATCTATGGGAGCGAGATTTGAATATGAGATTTTGAGAGAGGAAGAGAGAGACGACTGTGAATGACAAGGGTTTAAAACTGATTTTAAAAGAGCATTTTAGGTACTTCAAGGTGAGCTAGGGGGTCTGTCAAAGTAATTTCAAAATAAATGGATATACACATTAAGGATGTATTAGCTTGATGGTTAGTTATATATAATTTCCATGTCAGGGTACCTTAAAATAATCCCATATATTATACATTCGTAAATTAGTCAAAAGTTTTTTTTTTGGTAAGGAAAGAGATGATATAATTAGGCAGAACGGCCAAATTCGAAGGAAGGATAGAGCCTTCTTGTCTCTTGACAAAACAGAAAGAACAAAAAGAAAAATAACTAAAAGAAATAAAACAATCTTCTAAGATGGCACCAAAGGATTTGAGCGATAGTTCCGTAGAACTCAGCGATTCCATCACCGATAGACAGTAGTGTCATTAATAGATGTGATCATTTGATATTGAACTAACAAACACTAAGTCGGTAGGTTGTATTAGAGCTTAATAGAATGCGAACATCTTATTACATTGAAATTTTGAACCATCATTGTATCATGAATCATATACATGTCAATACACAAAATAACCGATACACAAAATCACTAAAAATATTGTTGAAGTGAAGAATAGTCTTATTTTTCAATTGGCAAGGGAGAAACTTGCACAACAGCTTTCACAGAGATCTCCACTTCTAAATGACAAGAGTCATTCACAATGAATCCTTTTTTAGGATCATTTATAGTTGCAATCTCCATGGATGTAGTAAATCCCCAATTATCTTTGGAACCGACATACCACACAGTACCTGCATCACAAAAATGCAGTCTTTTATTAGTAGAAATATGCAATTTACGAAAATAAACATCAAGGTTTTATGCAAACATGATAAACAGTTTAATGTTGAGTTTTATTTTTTCTGCATTTTCAGACCAAACTCGGAACATTCTCAACTGAACTTATAAAATAAATGGAGATTGCAAACATGCCTCAGTTACGCTATTACAATTACCATATATGCTTGTTGATGTAACTTACTAGTATATTTATCATGTTTATCATGAAGCTGGTTTTTGATGCATATGGTCCGACGTGCCTGTACTCTTTCAGAAGGCGTACCAGTATTGGAACCATAATAGTACAAAAAGATAGAGACATGGCGGCCAGATGCGTCTCCACGTCCTTTAGGATAAAGCTGAACAGCCCTATGCCGTGAAAAAAACTAGTGTCAAACAAAGTCAAAGGATGAAACACAGTTCAAATACAAATATGTAATTACCATTTGTGGCCTCCAGCACTGAATTCTTCAGATTTCCAAAACTCTCGGATTTCGGAGAAGTTTGGAATCATCCAATCACGCTTGTAAGGAATTTCAAAATTCTTCAAAGACAAACATTCAATTGCGAAAGCTTCCTTTTTAACAACAGAAACCTCAGCACCAAACACACAATTGTCATCGACTAGGTAACCGTTCGATGGATCAGTCAAAAACTTTTTAGAGATGAATTTGGAAAAGCCCCATTGGGGCTTCACTCCTAGGAAACGTCTTGTTATTCCTGTCCCATGTAAAGATTGGAAATATTGTACAATTACTTTCCTCGTATAGAAATAGTCATTAGCAAATTAAGTAAACGAAATGAATAAAGATAATAAATACCTAATGAATAAAGGTAGTTGTCATGAATTTGATTGTAAAGAAAGATGCTAAACACAGCATTGACCTCCCAGTTTGCAGGCATAGAACTTGTGTCCCCCATAGCCAAGTATATAGAAATATAGTCGCTCTCTTTTTCTTTGTCCTCTCCATTAGGACAAATTATTAATTTCCTATAAATGCGAAATAGCAACAAAGAATGAAGAATTAATAAAAACGATAATATTCTATTAGTTTCTAAATTAAAATTCTTCACCCAAAAAATATCTTTTTCTTCATCCAAAACTTTTCTGTTCAAAGAAAAAACTAATTCTCAAAGTTTTGTTGTTGAGAATTGAGATGGTGATGTATCTCTTGTTTCTAGTGCAATGTAATCTGACCCCAATAATAGTTTCAGTAAAATTACCCCCCTCACACACACACACACACACACACATGTATATTTATATATATATATATATATATATATATATATATATATATATATATATATATATATATATATATATATATATATATATATCAAGGATAAGTAAAGAATATGCAATTCTTTCAACAAGGCTTCAGTTGACTTAACGCAGAAAAATGACACCTGAAAACTTTAATAGCTAGAAGAATGTATGTACCACTTGTGTTCTCCAGCCACAAAATCATTTGTTTCGTATTTATCAATCCCACAGTTTTGAAGCAACGAGCACGACTCAATCTTGAACAAAAAATGTGCTGGTGATGCATCTCTTGTTTCTAGTGCGATGTAATCTGACCGCAATAATAGCTTTAGTAAAATTGCTCCCCTCACACACACACACACACACACACACACACACACACACATATATGTATATTTGAATTTGTGAGTTTATCGTACCATCTGCTGGTCGTCCTGCTGCTACTGCTTGTGCTGCTGCTGCTGAGGCCGCTGTTATCAGAACCATCTCGATTCCTTACTTACTTTCTACTTTGGAGAAGTTCTCTTACAAGTTACAATTAACCTTTGGTGTAGCCGTGTGGCTTGACTTGTCTTTGATAATAGATATATATAGAAACAACCAATTTGGTAACTTAGCTTGCCAAGAGCCATATTCGTCTCTAACAACCAATTTGATATGTCTGCTAAACCAATGGGCCTACAATATCTTTATTTATTGGGCCACGAGCTCAATATTGAAGACCACTATCACCGAGGTCCAATCACCTTCAAATAAGGTTTGAGCCCGACAATCTCAACTAATTAAATTTCAGCTCAATTAATGAGGTATAAATAAATGTTTTAACTCAATCCTTAATGTACGTCCTATTATCTGAGCAGTATCACAACATGTATTCTCTGGACTATTTAAAAAAAAAACATCTGACTTAAGCTTGGAGGGGTTTCCGGCGGATCACCCTCGGCTTAATTTACGTGTTCTATGATCGCTGGTATCTCAAGGTCATCAAGTTCGTGAGTCAGTGATCTACTTTTCTCTTCCATCTCATCCTACTTCAACTCTCTAAGGTGATCTAACTCTAGTATCATAAAAAAAAGTGAATAAATAATATGTCATAAACATCAAAATGACAAGTTACAAGTTGAGGATTAGAGTCGGTAAAACATATCGATAGAAGATTAAATCTCGACCAGGTACCATTCTTGTAATTTATAAGGTACGTATTAGGTATTAAGGAGTAAAAGTATTTAAATACAAGTCCGACTAATCTAAAACATGATAAATATATATTGGTTATTCCATTGAAGTTATTTCAATAAATATAAATATTATATATAAGGAATTCGAAAATTATAGCTCTCATTTGGACCAATACTTTTAAGTTACATTTAAATTAAATCCATTTTGTACAAGCTCATGTTGACTGGTTCTTTAAAATGGAGCCATCAAATTGTCAAATTGAATTGCAATCTTAATAAATATAATGCTATAATTCGTCAGTTAGTTAATAAATTCAAAGTAAGTGAAAAGACTAGTTAATATATTATAGGGAGGGTGGAAACTATACAAAAAAAACGTGTTGATCTTATTTGACGTTTGACCAAACACTCGTCATTTACATTAAAAAAAGACCTAAACATGAATACAAATATATTTTTAAAGGTCTTCAAATTTTGAAAGACCAAATCAACCAATACCCACTAATGCCACCACCATCATCCACCACCCAACCACCCCTACCACCAAACAACCACCGCAGCCACAACCACCACTGCCACCACAACCATCACCCACTTGTTAGGTTAGTAGACTATAAAATTTCGCTTTCATCTATGTGAACGATTTAAAATCTCGTTTATTTATTTAATCATTTATGAAAATCTGCATATGTGAATTTCAAATGCTTTTAGTTAGATGTTGGTTATTGTCAATTAATTAAATGTGTAAGTTTATTATTCTTAATGGTATGCACACTGATGTGCTATGGTACATATAAAGATCATTTCGAAAATTCGTTTAGAATATAAAAACATATAAAAACAAACGTTCACAGTCTAGAGGGAATTGGACTACCCATTGGACTACCCATTGGCAAAAACATATAAAAACAAACGTTCAATATTTAAGTGAATGATCTTGATTGCAGTAAACGGAGAATAACTTTTATAAAAAAAACATAATCCACTAGTAAATAAACTTAATCCACTATTAAATGAGACGAATATAAAATCTAACAAAAACTGCAAAAACATCCATTTCCAAACCACTTGAATTCTAATAAAACTATTAAGGAAACATCAAATTTCAGTTAAATATAAACTATAAAACTACCCCAAAGGACACCATATTTTCTCCAATTAAACTCGGAACATACTCGATGTAATCATCTTCTTCCAGTTATTCCATTAAATCCTACAAATTGGAGTCATAAAATAATATTGGCATCCTCATATGAATTATCAAAATATTGGAACTGATTTTTAAATGTATAAAATAATATATATATATATATATATATATATATATATATATATATATATATATATATATATATATAGGGGGGGATAAAAAACGGGCCGGGAGAGCGAGGATAAAAAGTGGCTTGAGAGCCTGAGAAAAAAGAGGACCCGGGAAAAAAAACACGCGTAAACTCCGCGAAAACCTCACACGCGCGAAACACATCTGACGGTCACGGAGAGAGAACAGCGCAAACACATCGCGGAGATGTGTGTATTCTAGGGACATCGCTCAAAAAAGAGCGTACCTCGTCTATATATATAGAGACCTGTGTGTGTATCGGGTGTGGAGCGCTCTCTCTATATTG